GGCTCCTCGCGGCGCCCTAGGTGTGGCGGCCGCCTCCTCCCCTCGGGCTCCGGAGCGCCACCGCGCCGCGCCCACCTGCTCCCGCCACCCGCGACGGGGTCCCTATCCACGCCACGCTACCGGGTCCTAGCGCCCTTCACTCAGCATCTCCAAGCTAGGCTTGGTGGCCAGGCGCACGGAGAGGGGATTGTGGACTGCCCGCGGTCCCCTGACCTACAGTGGCATGGAGCTAAGCCGAGGATGCGCGCCTCTCCTCCGCCCCTCGGCGTTCTTGAGCTTCTGGGAGATGGGTAGACACTGCCAGCAGGAATGGTGGGACTGTGGGCTCCCCTGCCCACGCTGCGTGCAGGGCAAGTCGCCCTCAGGTCGGGGAATCTCTTTTGCGGGACTCACTTTCTCTGACCCACTGAACGACGCCATCCCTTGTCCCCTCTACGACGTGGAGACTTGCTGCTACCCACGTCCCCCGCCCAGAAACGGGGTTCAAGGCGGACACCGAGGAAACACACCTGAGGGCGGGGCATCGTTGCCGGGTCGCTGAGCTGCCCCCAGTATCCTGGTCCCCCACCCCCTCCGACGGAGCTGCGACTAGGAAAGAATCAGAAACAGCTGGGTGGTTTTCCCGCACCAGAGGCCAGGGTGGGGGTCCTGCGGAGAGAATGGAAGCCCTGGAGCGTTTTTCTCTCTCTCTTGCTTTCCATCCTTCCTCCTCTCCACTTCTCGAGTCCTCCCTCAGCCCTGCACAGCGCTCAGGGGCGGGCGTGGGAAGTCGGAAAGAGGTGGAGAGGTGATGTGGGCTGACAGCTCCCTGCTCTCCTTCACTCACGGCCCACACTTCCCTACTGGAAAGTAGGGCCCCGGGGCTCTTACTGAAACATAAAAATTCCTCTTTAAAGCCCTGAACCTTCCAACTAGAGACTTCCCCTGGCGTCTGGCCCAATGCCTTCTTCAGCCTCAGTTTATCCTGCCTACCCTCTCGTTCCCAGGTGCCTTTCAAACCTCTCCCCATGGTTTTATCTAAACTATAAAGCCCTGGTGTAAACAGTGTGCTGGTGACTGCCCACCCACCTTAACCCCAAACTCAATGTCAGTCCTTGTTTGGTAGGGGCGTTAGAGATGCCATAGTGTGAAGGACAGGGCACAGCTGGCTGCAGCAAGGCTGCAGATGTCTCAGAGGTAGAGATGGGAGAAAAGTTCTGAGGAGGCTCTATTCTCTCTCCCCACATCCTTTGTCACACCACTTTCTGTGGTAAGAAGCCAAGTACACACATCAATTCAACAAACACTATTCCCTATCATATGCTAGCACCGTGCTAGGCTCAGACATATTTTTAAAAATCATGAAATCATTTCTGCTTTTCTGGAACTTGCAATTTATGAGAGATGGTGCAACATACATGATGTAACAAAGTGGTGAGTGCAGTGGAGAAGGACAGAGCAGGGTAAAGGGGCCTCATCACAGTGGCATTGGCATGTGAGGGGGCAGGAAATGATCTGGGCATATTGTGGTGAAGAGCATCAAGAAGGAAAGAGTCAGTAGACACCCCAAGGCAGGGATGGGCTGGTCTTCAGCGGCCCCCAACATGCTGAGCCAACTGAAGCAGAGCATCCTAGAAAGGAGTGGGGTTCAGATAAGGAACAGAGGGTGATCGTAGGTAGAGAAGGGAAAAGGCATAGTCATCACTGGTCAGTGTGGGTGCAAGTGGGGGTTGGACTGACTTTAGACCAGAGAGGGCTGAATACAGACAGCATGCAGGGCCAACAGTTGGCTACCGGAACTAGGACCCTAACCTTCCCTTCCCTTTTCTCCTGCAAGCTGGTAGCCTGCTTAGACCCTAAGGCCACTTCTCCTGTGAGAGGCAGGTGGGGGACTGGGAGTTTAAGCTCATTTCTGGCTGGGAGCCCTTTCCTTGGACCACTCTCACCTCCTCTCAGCCCAGCTCCACCCCTTTGCAAGGCAGCAGTCTTCCAGCTCAGAAGCCGCTCCCAGACTCCCCTGTGTGTTTAGACCTGGGTGTGACTCTGGCCCTCTGCTTATTTCTCCATATGGGCCTGGGGATGTGGGCTGGGAGCTGGAGATGACACCTCTAACCTTCGGTGGACTAACCCGTAGGAGCTCACTTCTGGAGGCCCCTTCTTTGGCTGCTGCAGCTGTCTTCAGAGTTGAGCGGGACCATGTCTTGGTACAACATAGATGCTCAACTATCAAAGTATATTCCAGAGATGAACACCTCCCAAACACCCCCTCCCCCCAAAAAGACCATAAATAACTCCAAGGAGGAAGGAAGGAGCTGAAGGTACAAGACTCACCTCACAGTTTACAGGCCACCTCTGCCCTAGAGTGAGGAACCCAACATGGGACTTTGTTCACCCCCCACCCCCCCACCCCCACCCCTGTTCCAGTATCCCCAGAAGAAACCCCAGGCTGCAGGAGTCAGCTGACTGCAAAAGCACTCAGCCACTTAACTAGAGAACAAATTCGGAGCCAGAGAAGAGGTTTTCTGGGATCTGCCACTTTGGAGCTTCAAATCTCAAAATAAACTTCCAGTATCAAGATCCTAGACACAATTGGAGAGCTCAGTTCCTCACGCAAGGGCCTGTTGTGGGGCTTCCAGGCAGAGGGTCAAGGCTGGAGGCTCAGACTTGCTCCTCCGCCTTATCCCCCACCCCCCTACCCTGAGTTATAGGAGCCAGGAGAAGTCTCTGATTTGAGAGTCAGAAGTCACTGGTCTGGAGGACCCTGCATGGAGTCCAGTCACACTCAGTAAGCACCTGTGATGTACCTACCCCTGACAAAGGCATCCTAAATAACACAGAAAAAGGTCTTAGGTGGCATATAGTTTCTGCTGAAGTTCAAGACTGTATGCTACAGATATAATGGGCATTAGCATCAGTAAAGACCCACAGAACCCCAGGCTGCCCCCTAACGCAGACATAGAGGATACCAAATTCCTTGGGGGCCTTCAGCCAGCAGAGCCAGGCCATCCCTCTACCTGCTTGTGGCACCACAACCTCCCTTCACCTTTTTTCAAGTGGGACTCTGAAGAAGACCCCCCCTCCCCTGCCAGCTTTGATAGCTCCCTTTGTGCTCTGATCCCCACTGAGGGCACTTAGGGTTAAGATTCTTCCTTCACTCTGTTCTCAGCTCTGTGTGACTGAATGACTTTGAATTGTTACTGGCCTTTGGATGGGAATGGAGATGAGCTAAGGGGAGCTGGGGTGTGGGTAAACAGCTCTGACTCCACCCTGGTCTATCTTCCAGAAGGCCCCCCTTCCCTGGGCCCCCTTGGCGATGACCTTCTCTTTCCTGGTGGGTGGGAGGTGGTGTGGATGGTAATAAGCAGAGAGAAAGGCCAAGAAGGGGCTGGGGGGGGGTGGTTGGATGAGAGTCAAGGAATTCCTGAGCCTGCTACTTGCACAAGGGGCCCTGAGATGCCTTTTCTGAGATTTCTTTGCAGACTAAGACAGGTCTTATTTGAATTGGGGCCAGGTTCACACAGGCTCCTAGTGCCCCACCTCCTGTCCTGCTGTACCATGTAGGTGGCTGGGGACAAGACGGGAGCTTGGGAAGAACCCAGGAACTTTAGAGGGGGGTGATATGGGGATCCAGACAGCACACAGCCTAGCCGGCCTCTGCTTGGTATTTATGAGCTCCCAGGCGAGACATGGAACATGTCTCAAGGAGGCCAGGCCAATCAAACTTGAGGGGCCATGGGAGGAAGGAGCGTCCCGGCCTAAATCAAGGAAGGGGCTTGGCGGCACAGCATCTCTTTCCACACAGCTAATCAGTGGCTAAACAGAAGGCAAACCTGTCTCCAGAGGACCAAGAAGAGAGGAATTTAAGGGAGAAGGGACAACAGGAAAGGAGGCCTTGGAAGGTGGGAGACCAGTAATTTGGACCCTTTTAGCACTTTAGTTGTAATGAGACTGGAGCCAGGCAGTAAGCAGGCTGAGGGCCATTCTGGGCAGTGACCCAGGTTCTGTGTGAGAACAGTGGGTGTGCTGCTGGGATCCTGGGTGGTCACTGACCACCCTCTTCTCAAGAGAATATTCTTATTTTGCCTTTGGGCCCCTTTTCCCAGTGTGCCTGCATCAAGTACTGCCTTAAACTCTCTTTCTAGTTTTGGGCCCCAGAATGATCTGGATGTGAGATTTGCTTCTAGTGGACAAAATCTGCAGAGCTCACTGTCGGCCGGTTGCACACTGCTTTCACAGTGCTCGGGCTCTGTGTCCATCTCTTCTCTTGGGGGCCTCTCTCGGTTTGTGTTTCTGTGTCTAGTCTGAGTCCTCTCTCTGGGCTTGTTTCCCTATCTTCATTTGTTCCTCTGGGTATCTTCATCTGCCTGCCGTTCCTCCCTGTCCAGATGTCTGTTTGCCTTCCCTTTCCGAACACTGTCACTTGTCTACATCCCTGTCAGCCTGTATCTCTGTCTCCCACTGTGGGACTTGCCCTTCATTCTCCTTTCTCTCACTCTCGCCCCCTTCAGTTTCTCCATGCCCTCGCTCCCTTTTTAAAACCCAGCAGCTTTCTAAATCTCTGTGTGTACCTGCCTACCTGCCTCATGTTTTTTATGATGTGTGGCTTTCTCTTCCTCCTCCCATTTGTTCCCCTTCAGATCCTTCATCACAGTGCACAGTACATTGGAACAGAAAAGGTCAGAAAATTCTTTGCTTCTTCAACTCAACAATGCATTATTTATAAGACTATAAGTCACTTTTCTAGTTCAGGACTTGGTTTCCCCCCTGGTGGGAGAAGTAGTCTGGTTCCTTCTG